TTTTATGATATTTAACACTGACCGGAATACTGTTTTAATACAGTATACTGGCGAGTCTCAACAATATAAAACAGTGTCATTTGCTTATAATGTAATAAAATTGAAGTATTCAAAATGTATAAGTCCGTTCATTCAATCAAATGATATCTTGCAATAAAATGCAAAATGACTGAAAAAGGAAAATTTCATAATGCAACAGCCATTTCAAATCGGTCTTGCTGCAACTGAATCTGCATTAAAATGCTACTTTTTGCATATAAAATTATTATTCCAAGTAAATAAAAAGTGTTAAGGATATTTTGATAATATTGATTATATCACTTCAGCGACTTGGATGCAAGTTTTTTGAAAATCGAATTATGTAACGACAGTTAGATCATTTTGACTGTAATTGACGGATATATTTTTTATGAGGTCGTAGACCTAGGAAATATATCTGGCTCTGTCATACCGATTGCAAAAGTAAATAAATTACTACCATAGAAAGTTAATTCCTGTTAAGTTCGTAAAATTATTAATAACAAAAACTGCTCTGCTGGTATTCCATGCAATATGCAATATCTATGTCCTATCTAGATAGATGTAGTAATGATGTTCCAACTACAGTTCAACTTTTTGCCAAGCTTTTTGTGGACTGCTTTGTGCTTGTGTTAATTGATGTTAATGGTTTTGAATCTTCCTTGGAAATTATCGGTTGGCCCTGATAATCCCTTATATTTCATAAAAAATTATATTTACTTTGTCAAAAGCATGTAGGCTTAACAAATCACCGCAGTTGAATGGATTTCAAAATTACTGGTAACAAAGCTTTTCAAACGTACATTTTTTAATCAATGAATAAGAATAGTGTTGAAAACTACCGAGCGCTGTGTATAAGATATAATATATAATATAAGATACAGGACGCCACTGTATTGATTATACAGGGTGACTTCGAAGTTGAGTCATTTATTTTAACAGTGAGTAGATCTGATCAAAAGAAATGTTTTTTTCCTTTACCATTTTTCTGGTAAAATTAAAGTAACAAAGTTATAGCCCTTTGGAAGTTTGAGTACCGCCCTGTCTCAATAATAATATTATGTGCTCCTGTTTGGCAACAACGGATATAATCCGCCTTATCGGTTCATCGCATCGGAAACAAAAAAGCGAAAGAATTTGGAACGATGTTTTTACAATTATTTTATTCAGTTGTATACAGTCAGTGTCAGTCGGTAACACGTGAGTGAATAGTGGTGTCTGTTGCGTGGCTCAAACGAAATCAAAAATGGCACATGTTTACGAAAATGCTGAACTTGTGGACAAGATTCTTATTTACGCGGCTTCACGGATTTATGCGGATCGGTTTCCCAATCGAGTGCAACCAACCCCTCGTGCCTTTGTTAATGTAGTACAAAGGGCTCGTGAATCAGGTGACTGTGTATTCAGTCTAAATGAATTTAAAGGCATTATTGTCAATCAGGGTAAGTCAAGTGTACCAACTTGATGTTATACTGTTGCTATTTGTGCAATTCAATTTTGCAAGGTAAGCAGGTGGACTCTGTTTATATGGATTTAATATTTGTCCAAACTTTACAACTGTGTTGTCCAAGGTCAGCTCTTGAATTGGATAAGTACCCATTTGCTTATCTGGTATCAGATGGTAATTAACGGGTGTACATCTCGTAGTATTCGTGTAACTTCTGGAGGCTCGGAGGATTCCCACTCAGGTCCGTTGTTATTTAATGTATATTTATATAACGATCTTGTGAGATTAGTACGCAGAGGAATGCTTTTATTTGCGGATCATGTTATCATTTAGTTGACCTCCTTCTCTTTTACTTATTTTTATAGCATCAACGGCAGATCTTTACAAGCTACAGGCCAGATCAAGGACTTTGGAGATATGTTTGACTCAAAATTAACATTTAACGCACATATTGAAAAAACAGTCAACTGTTCACACTGTATAGATCTGACTTTTTTCTTTTAAAATTTAGTGTTGTTCTTTGGTTCGTTCGTTACTTGTTCTGGTCCCCAAGCTATAACTTAGAGAACAACCAATTAGAGTGTGCGCATAAAAAATGTTTGAGAATCTATGGATATAAAATGGATTTCATTGTGGAGGAGTAAAATAGTTATACTGATAATAATAATAATAATAATAATAATTAACGTCTTTTATTTGTAATATTCTTACAGGAGGCGAGATTTAGATTATATAGGTATCTATTCTACCATCTAACCCCCTTAACAATACTAGATGTAAAAAAGAAAAAAAAAAGAATTTGTTGAAAATTAATAGGCACCTGTATACAATAACGAATAATCCAAGTAAATACATAAGGAACATATGAGGACACTTATGGATTGCAACCGATTTCGCTGCTGATCAAGAAGCACTTCTTTCACTTTTTTCTTGAATTTGGATAATGGATTGGTTTCTTTTAAACTGCGGTCTAAAGAATTATATGATTTGATCCCATTGTAAATGTATGAATTCTGAAATAGAGACGTGTTGTGGCGTGGAATTGAAAAAGTCTCTCTAATATATCTAATATTAATACGATGCATATTCCCTCTACTTATGAATTTGTTTACTAAATATGACGGTGTTTTTGAATAAAGAACCTTGTGAGTCAGATTTAGGAGCTGGTACTTATACATTTTATCAATTTTCATCCATTTGAGTTCATTAATGGCATTCGATATATGATCATATTTTCTGAGATCATTTACAATGTATTCATAATACTTTGAATACGATTTTTTGTTATAATATCTAAATAGGGATAGTAAACCACTAAGCAATACGATATCTTTGAAAATACGAAATATTCACACAATTGCTTTCTCGCAGATTTATGTAATATAGCCTTATTTGCAAATAAAACTCTGAGAATAGCGTAGCACTGAGTAATTAAATAGTTCACGTGTGCAACAAATTTTAAGTCATCATCCATTATAATACATAGGTTTTTCGAATGATCCACAGGAATTAATTTATTACCCTTTAAATGTATGTCTATGTCCTTTTTTAAGGTATTCTTTTTTGTTCTATTTGCGTATATACTAACATATTTGTCTTCAAAGGGTTCAAACGAAGATTATGACTACTACTGAACTTTTCAATTTGGACAAGATCTTGATTAATTTTATTATTTGCCGTTTCCAAGTCATTACTCCTAAATGAATAGAAAATTTGAGTATCATCTGCAAAAAATTGTATGCTGCATGATTTTACCTCTGTTTCTAAATCTGAGATATATATAATGAAAATAATAGCGGTCCTAAGACTGATCCCTGTGGTACACCAGAACAAATTTTTTGTTCCGTAGAGTACTGTTGATTTAGACGAACTTTTTGATACCGATTTTCAAGGTAGGTTTGAATAAACGAAAGAGGTTTTTCAGAAAATCCATAGTAACTGCATTTAGATACAAGAAGTGAGTGATTAATGGTGTCAAATACTCTTCTCTACCGGAATATAACTTCTCTTGAGCGACGCAGGTTGGAATTTGACTCTTGTACATTACAAAGCAATTCTTGAAATCAAGACTGTGTTCTACTTTGGTAACAAAAGTTTTTTCCGTTGATTAAATAGATAAATTATAGTTTGGTACATCGGTTCCAATCTGTAGATCCAACATTATGACAGTATTGTGCCGTACATACCGAGCACAGTGAATACAGATTCTGTGTCATTCCCCTTAGAAACAATTTATTAATCAAGCCATACACCAGACAACAATATTTACATTTTATTTTTATATTCTTTGTGTACGTTTCTTCCGGAGTTTGTTCGTTTTGTCATATGGGCAAGTCGGTAAAATGACTGGTATAGGTACCTACATTTGAGTCACCTGCTCTTTTTTGTCATCATTAATGTTTCAAGTGCAATGCATTACAGTTAATTGAAATATGTGACTGAAAAAGCAATTAAAAACAATTAGAAATTATTTGTGACACGTTCAACTAAACAGTTATAATTTATATCAAAACAACAATGCTAGTAAATCGGTCATCTGCTCGTGTTTAGACTTGTGTATATTACTGAAAAGGACCTTTCATTTCAAAAAGTATTTTCATTCAGTCTCTCATCACGTGCCAAAAGATTATTCCAATTGATTAATGAATATTGTTAGGCAATTTTTCTGAAAACGTGTGTATTAGTTTATTAAAAAATACCTTAAGTATCTAGGTAGGTATAATGCATAAAGCTCAAAAAATGTACTTATTATGACATTCAATATAAAGAAGTATGCAGTTTCCGTCGGCATTGTATAGGTATTATATATTTTTTTATTAATATATAATATACCTTTAAAATAGAAGAAAATACGTATTGTAGATACCATTATTCCAGTTAGGTATACCTCTTTTGAAAAACTAGAGCTTTTAAAGACGAATCAAATAATCATAATTATGATACCTACCTAAAATTCGAGGATTTTATCTCTATTGTTCAAAATTGTTAGATAAGTATTACCATCTACACGAGGTTATAAATCAGGAAAAATTCTGTATGGTTAAAACTACCCAAGGTCTCCAGTATTTAATGAGTGAGTCTCAGATACAAAGAATTTCACACATGCTGATATGTTCGTCACAAAATTTCCTCCACAAATCTAAAACTGGATCAAGTTTCAACCCTGTAACCTATATGTATCATAGGGATATTTATTTACGAAAACTGTGGTATATTAAAACGAAGAATGACACATTTTTGGGGGGGGGGGGGGGATGGGATCTTGATAAGGCCATCACATTCATATACCTATGATAAATTTACAATAGCATAATAATTACACAATTATGCTTTCAAACTTGTCAAATATCCTAGCCTTTCCAAAAGACGCAACAAAATACACAAACTGTCTGCGGAAGTAAACATAAACGCAAGTTAAGTAGTGCTCCAAGCAATCCTAACCTAATTTTTGGGGCGATTCTTCCATAATAACAAGTGTTTATTCTGGTAGTCATGCACCATGCGTCAGTGTGTTAAATATCAAAATGTAACTTACCTAAACTTGCAAGGGAACTCACAACCACCACAACGTTCACAAAAATCAAAGTACACGTGCTCTGTTTTGCACACCCACTATGTAAAATCCCAAATGGCACCTAGTCGACGTTCGTTTCACGAAAACTCCGCGCTACAAGTCTTCAACTCCTTGCAACTGTCAATACCGATCGAAACCCGAAAAAACCCGGTCGACACGTACATCAATTCGTAAGTGAGGTTATTAAAAACGCGCTGTGGAATGTAAAAACCGTGGGCTCCCAGCGACTGGCAGAAAAACCATGATCGTTTTTTGCGGGCTGTGCGTTTTTTGTCGCGGAAAACCCATACGCTCAACAGCATGCACTGATCCCGCCAACTAAGACTGAAATACGGCTCGAAGGCGCCGTCGTATCCTTCGTGCGTGATCGGATGTTGTCGGATCGCTGACCACGCCCCGCGATGCTAAAACAATGCCTTGATAGAGACGGGCGGTCGGTTGAGCGTGTGCTAGAGTGAGAGGGGAGATGGATTGTTTTTTGCGGTGGCGCAGAGAAGGCGGTGGATTTATTTTGCTGTTGGGTTTGTTTGGGAAAAAGTTGACTCGTTCCTGATGCTGAAGGTAGAGATGAGAATTAATTTTGATACTGAAATTAAAAGTCGTTCCTACAATTGTGGGACGCTCTGCTTCAGAAAGGCTGGGGTATTTCTAGATTTCTACTGTTTCGTGTCAGCATCAGCGCTCTCCTATTGTGAGGCTATGTTTTCTTTTTGAAATATAGGAAATTCCAAGGTAATATAACAGATGATATAAATCAAAAGCATGAATAATTTGATGCAATCAGCTGTGGCAAATAGCTAAAAGGTCTTATGTATAAATTTGTTGTTTTCGGTAAAATGGCGGTGAAGTTTTGACCTCTTTTAATTTGATTTAGTTTTGGTATGGTTGGCTGGAATGGTACGAAACGAGTTTTATCCCATGTTTAATCATTAAATCCTCAACCACATAGTACCTAGAAAATACTCAGATATTTGAGTTAAATGAGAAAATTGTTAGATATGCCTTTTTTGTCGACATTTATAGGGGTAAATGGTTCAAACGATATAAGTGGACCTAGTACAAGACATCCCAACATATCAATTATGCTGAGAAGTGCATAAGTTTATATATACCTACAGTGCTTTTCTTTAATGTCCCCCTCTCCTTTGATTTTTTGAACGGATCAATTCAAAAAATTAAAACTTGAGGTAATGGGTACCATATTTTAGAGTAAAATTGACAGATGAAAATGTCAAGATGGCCGCTGGGCGCCATCTTAGAAAAAATTTATATGAAAACTTGGATCTTGTGGCACATCGTTTTGAAGCTCCTGGCGAGTACTGTATAACTCTAGAATATAAAGTCAATACATTTACCTACTACAAAATGGTGGTACATTTAATAATTACCTGAATACATTGACATTTTGCTTGATAATTCCAATAAATACGTTGAGTTCAGTTTAGAAAATGCTGGAAATGGTTGCCTTGAACTTTTTGACCTAATAACAGCCGGTCCGTAATTTTCAAACATAGTAACATCGATATTTCTACAAATATTTGTTATTCTCAGCCGTGTCTATATCCAATATTGAAGCAGGTTCAGTTTCGTACACCTTTTGCTTCAAAAGTCTAAAGGTGTCAAATCTGGCTAGCGAGCTGGCCATTAAACAGGACCTCGACGGCTAATAAAAGGACCGGGGAAATTGTTATCTAAATAATTCCTAACTTGTCTGTCGTAGTGTGGTGGAGCACAATCTTGCTGGAATACAATATCAGTATCGAATTCATTAGGATTTGCTTCGACGATTTCGATGATTAGAGGGTCAATAGTATTATCAAGTATGTAATTAATAAATGTACCACCATTTTGTAGTAGGTAAAGGAATTGACTTTATATTCTAGGGTTATAAAGTACTCGTCAGGAGCTTCAAAATGAAGTGCCACAAGACCCCCATTTTCATATATGGCACCCACCGGCCATCTTGACATTTTCATCTGTCAACTTTACTGTAAAATATGGAATCTACGCATCAATTTTATTAACTCAAGTTTTAATTTTTTGGATTGATCCGTTCAAAAAATCAAAGGGCAGGGGACATTAAAGAAAAGCACAGTATATTTTCATTCATTTTCTGTACTTTACTGCAGTTTAAAGAGCTCAAGTGAACATGTTCTTCTACATTTTTGCAGTTTTTTGTTACTTTGGTTATAAGTAGGTAAACATAAGAATTTTGATATGATTAGGATATAACAAGTTTTATTAACATAGGAATTTCATTTTATAAAAATGTGTGACTTAAAATATTTATACTTTATAATTAAATTAAAAAACAGTCTTTGTGGCGGTCTCAGTGGTAGTATTTTTACCGTGTAAAACACAAGACTAAACACAGAAGAATAAAATACGATGAAACAGACATTTCTTTTATATTATTAATATAACTAAAGATAGGTACACTTTATAATAAAATTAACAAACAGTGCAGCTTTCTCAGTGACAGTAACTTCATCACCAAAACTAAAGATAGAAGAATAAAATACATTGACTTGCATTCTTCATCAGTTAGGTATCTATCTAGATATAGTACATGTGGATCAGTATCTTCTTCAATATTTTGGTCAGTTTTCAACTCATTGTCTAAAGAACAAACAATTTCTAGAAGATTTTGCTTCTTTAGGTTGTTGATTGGACATTATATACTATTCGGTATTAGTCAAATTTGAAGGCTTATGCCCCTTTCTAAATAAATCAATCTCTTTGAATGGTTCATCTTCTTTCAAACTGTTCTTGTATCCACTGTGTCATTTTTAGTCTGTACCTTATCCAACGAATGTCTCTTATTTTGATTTTTTTTTCTGAAGCGTCCCCTTTGTAGATATCTCCGAAAAAACAAACGAATGCTTCATTTCCATGGGAAAGATAGAAAATTTATTTGTTCTGCTGGCTGTTCTTATTAATCGATACCAGTCTCTTGGAACGTGGATACTAATTGGAGATTTTTTCTTGGCTCGTTCAATCACAGAGTCGTCAACATCATTTTGTATCCGAACAACTAAATAAAACATAATATAAGATGTTAAATATGGTGTAGGCAAGACTTGTTGAAGATCGAAATCATAAGTCACATAATATTTTGTATCTATTCATTATCTGTTTTCCTTTGTCCAATGATTTCGATTTATAAGCATTCTCTGCTTCTTCTTGATGTTCTTTTAGTAATTGTTTTATGTGTTTCTTCTCATTTTCACTGTCAGTAATCATAAACTTTAGTTGGCGCGTTAAGTGTTTCACGTTTCATGCATGTATCATTCTTGGGTTTTTTAAACCTCAAATTCATGGTGTGGAACACATTTCTGTAGATACTAAAAGACACAGACAGGTCTTCCAGGGTGCTGCTCACAGTACAACTTGTACATTGTAATACTTAAATATTTAGATCAGAGGACAGATACTTCCTATCTGGATATCGCCTGGAATAGTGACTTTTGTAGGCTGGGAAGGAATTTACAGGTTTCTTAATTTCATCGATCTTAGATTGTAGCGTTTTGCGGGGAGGTGAGTTTTCCCTCTCAAGTCCTCTTGGGTAGTTCCGCTAGTCGAGAATAACTTGTTTTCCACAGCACACCTTATGAATTTTTCGGTCTCATTCAGGTTATTACAGAAGCATACTTTATCAACATTTTTTCTCCGCCTTCTACAAATAATTTATATTTGTATGTATTATGTGTATTTTTGACGGTCTGCCTTCGATTTTCCATCTTGTAACATTTTTTTCTTGGACTTCCATCAATCCTGCTATGAGAGCCACCCTACGGTCGGGACTTCCTAACGACCAAACATTTTTTGCCTTAGGTTATCTTCGGTTAGAACATCCTTAGATTTATTCCTGTAGTTGTTCCTCAAGGACTTAGTCTCCTTGGTTCAACAATTCTGCCCTTTACAGTACAATAGCTTTTTCCTAAATTACGTTTTATTTTACGTTCTTTAACTTTCTTTACTGTGAATGGTTTGACATTACTTTCATTTTGAGCTTTCCCTCCACTATCTACACTACAATATCTTCATGGTCCTAAGCCAATCATCCCAACTTAAATGCTGTCAAGTGCTTCGTTGTATCCTTCTCAACAAAAGAGAATATTTAGTTTTTGAATATTGTCTTGGAAACGACAGCCTTACGCGTCAAGCGCAAATCAATGATTTCGATCAAATAATGTCTTTTTCTGCCCATATGGATACCACTGTCTCGACAGCTGATAGGATGTTGGGTCCTACAGAGCTATATTGTATAATAATAATGATAATAACTCTTGGTATGCCTGATTCAAAAAATCACGAACCTCTAAACGAAAATGCGGAGGTGACACATCGTGCAAACACCACATCCGTGCTTGGACCGCTAATGGCACATCTTCAAGTAGGACCGGCAAATCATTCCGAAGAAATTCCAAATACTGGTGACTATCCATCCGATCTGGCAATATGATCGGTCCAATTAGACGTTCATCGACAATACCTACCCACACGTTTAAAGAAAAACGATGTTGGAAGTGTGTCTGGACCACTGCGTGAGGATTCTCAAGGGACCAAACGTGTGTATTATGAAGATTGGTTAACCCATTACGAGTAAAAATAGCTTCATCGGCAACCAAAATATCAGCTGTAGAACGGGCATCTCGAGCATTTTCTTGTAACAACCACTCACGAAACCTTACTCTTAGGAGGTAAGTAGTTTGTAGGTAGCAACGACTGATAAGGGTACAGTTGGGCCTCATGTCTGGGGCGCAATTATCCACTAGCACGTGCACTTAAAACAATTGAACTTAACGCTTCGTGATGTGGTATGTGCCTATTCGGAAATCGGTGTGCATACAAACGAGAAGCCGCTCGCGAATTTTGCCCTGCTTCTCCGTACGCTAAAACAACGTCCACTAACTCGTCATTAGTGTACACATGTGCCATTTTTATTAATAAATAACTAAAAACATAAACTCGCAAAATACTTTCTTATTTAACTTCACAGAAATCGACCGTTCTTCATTCAGATCACCCAGGATACAGATTAAACCTTATTTACACATTCTTATCAGTATGAAAGAACAAAAAATTACTGGTATTTTGCCTTCGTCAGTTGTTTAGTAGAACATTTGCTATAATAAATTATTAATGCGTGTTCTAATATCACGACGATGAACGCACAATATAGATATTTATTTTACAATTTTTAATTGAAACTCAGGTTTATGACTTAATTCCTATAGAACCTTTATTACATTTTTTTCAAGAAATCTACTTCTTTCGTAATAGCGCATATGTAGTTAAAATTAGTCGGATA